TACAGACTTTGTTTATCCCGCGTGAATATTCTGAGAGAAACACAGAGGTGGAGCGGTAATTTGCAAATGACCAGACGTCTCCAGGTTGTTTTTATCCCGTGTGAGTAGGGCTTTAGTTTTAGTACTGATTAGAACCTGCTAGGGATGTAACAATAACCGAAATATCGTGATATCGTATCGTCAAAGTTCTCACAATAATATCGTGGACCATCAAAATATATCGAATTACCAGTTTCTTCGCTTAAATGAAGAGTTTTGGTGCAGCAATAACTAAAAAAAAAACAGAGGGAACTACATAGACCATGATCCTTTGCTCCATTTCAGTGCAGACGACAAGAAGAAATAACAGTTCTAACACTTTTAAGTCTTAGTTCTTTGGATTAAGTCTTGTAGAAAGTAGAATATTAACAGTTTTGTTGTTATCCTCCACAAAAATATCTCGATAAATATCGTTCAGAGAGATTTGGATATTGTTACATCCCTGATCGTGAGCTTTCCCACGATATCACAATAAATATCGTACCGTGAGGCTCATACCGTGACGATATCGTATCGTGAAACTTGGACATCATTATACTTCATAGAAACCGTCTGACCTCGCAGCATTAGGATTCATTCGCTTGACGTCAGGCAGGTACTTTTTTTATTTAACCAATCGCTGCTGTTTGGTCGTGACGTTTGTAATGTACCAAACCCAAAGGACAATAACGTCTTTCCTCTTGATAAAATTCACCAAACTTTCTCTTTGTTCCGGCTTTAAATCCTCGATCTCGGGAATCGTTGCCAACACAGAATGTCTGGCTCTTCGCTGATTGGCTGGTGCCTGAACTCGCACTTTCGGGGTTTTTGTAAACCGTCTAGTTCAGGAGTGTCAAACTCATTTTGGTTCGGGGGCTGTATCCAACCTTCTTTGATCCTAAAGGGACCAGAGCAGAAAACTCATGTCATATAAACCCCAAAAATAACAATAAGTTCAAATATTTGTGCAGAGAAACACAAATCTATTACAGAAATCTTTTTTAATTGATGAACTCTTTCTTTTACAAAATATTATAATATTATGAACAACCTGAAACTTTAAGAAAAAATACAATTTCAACACAATGTTTTAACATGAACTTGTATGTAAATAGGAATAAGTCAATTTTTGTTGTAAAATCCTGCACTCGGCTCCACTTTTCTCATGTTGGACATTTTTCTGATGAGGGTGTCACGGTCAACAGTCAAAACGATCGTCCTTTAAGAGCGTTTGGAAAGAGACAAGTCTTCATTTGTGCTGCTCTGGTGGGAGGGGCCACGTACAGAGACGCTGGAGACGCTGCTGTGATAAACACCACAGAAAATTAACAAGATTTTAATAGAAAATATAATTAAAATATTTTAGTAGAAAATCAGCCGAGGGCCAGATTAAAGATGTTTGACACCCCTTGGTCTAGTGTATTCTGATTCCTGATCTAGTCTCTGGAGAGAAATGAAACTGAATGGAGACACTAGGTGGTGCTAGACTGGCTACCTGTACGCACCTTTTAATAATAATATTTCTGATCTTTGTACAGTTTATTAATGAACAGTTTTCTTCTCTGAAATGGAGTTTGGGCTCAGAGCGTCTTGTTGTCACAGCTTTTAGAGGGCAACTGTTTTTTATTTTTGAAATGCTGCAGATAAAATCATGAGGAGGTTACAATAATGTGACTGAGAGACACGTGGCAAAGCACAGGGTGAGTTTATCTGAATAAAACTGGAGAATAAAGTGAGTGAGGAGCTGATTGACAATATGACGTCTTGAAAAAAAGGAGTTAAAGATTGTTCAAAAATGCAAACATCACAGAATAGGCCTGTTTTAAAATCTCTTTGCCCACAGATGAAGTTGAATCCTTTGTAACTTTGGGGCAATTTATATAAATACAGAGATTTTGTCACTAACAGAAGAGAAACTCACAAGTACAAAAACCCACAGCCCCAAACCTTGTGCCGTATGAAGTGAAAGCCTCATTAACCTGAGCACATGAGGCTCCCGTGGCCCCACTTTTTCCACTCAGGCTCTTGTTTGTCTGTGGAAAGTTTTGGGTTGGGTTGGAGCAGAGGCCGGGACCATAACGGGACCAGGACTGTAAAACACAAACGGACTAAGGGAGCGTGACGTCACCCGTTGGCAGTTAAGGGATGAATTTGGAGTTTGAATTTGGATTTATTGTCATTGTACAAAACGCAACGGAACTTCGACACAGTAAAACCGCAGCAGTAAAAATGAATAAATACAGACACATTCTCACATCCATACCGATCAAAACTAAAAATAAAGTAAATAAATAAATATTGTATTGCTCTGAGTCCCTTCAGGCCTGTTATCTGTGCCTCACTTTCCCCGTACAGAACCAGCGAGTTGGCCTAATCTCTCATTCATTCATCTTGGAGTCATCTGTTTTTTACATCAAACATTTCATCTGTCCATTCATCCCTCCATTTTCTTCCACTTAGCCTTAGTTGTGGGGGCATCAGTCTTAGGCCACGTTCAGACTGCAGGGCTTAACGCTCAATTCCGATTTTTTATTTTTTGTGTGAAATCCGATGTTTTTGCGAGGTCGTTCACATTTCCAGTTAAATGTGACTTGTATGTGACTCCAGTGTGAACATTAAACGGCCCGAAAGTGTCCCACATGTGACACTGGAGACACGACGACGTCAACCGCAGCGAGCGTCTCTGTGTTTACGGAAGTTGTCCAAACATGGACGCAGCATCGAGCACCTGGAGATTTTAAAGTTCCTCTCGTACCGGAGCCAGAACATGAACAACTTACTTGTTTTAAGGAGGAGATTGAGAAGGAGAAGGACGAGGTTTTTGGTCGTGGTGTTTTGTGGTTCAGTCCGTTGAAAGGAACGTGTGGATGTGGAGACGGAGCCAAGAGTGGTGAGTGGTGATGTGCTTTGCTTCAGTGACACGGTAGAGATGCGCGGATGGGCTACTTTTTCATCCGCAACCGCATCGCAAAACTCATCATCCGCCCGCTATCCATTTGCAACCACAGTTTTTCAAAACAGCACCCGCCCGCCATCCGCTCGGTCCCCTCGCATTTGCTCCAAGTTCAGAGTTTTTTATTTGAGTAGTGAATCTGCCACCCGCCCGAATTTAATTAAAATATTATTTTTCGTCACGTCATCCGCCCGACCCGCGGTTTAGCCGCGGAGTCCACGGTTGTAACCGCAATCCGCGCATCTCTATGACACAGAGTTCATTAACAATTTTGGTATGACGAGAAGAACGTTTGTGTACATTTGTGAGCGCCGACTTGTGCCACTCTCACGGGGGGAAACACGTCTTCTGTGGCTTATTTCCATGACCAAGTGCGTCGGCGTTGGGCTGTATTGGCTCACAACATGTGCTTGTTACAGCACAATAGTCAACCTCTTTGGCACAGTCAAGTCCACCGTGTGATGACGTGTAGGTCGGATGAATGCGCTTTGGCCATTCAGACTAAAGTCACATGTCAAAAGATCAGAGAAGTGGTCAAGTGTTAACGCAGGGAAACAGGAGCAGATTTTTGACATTCAAATGTCTCTTATTCAGAAACTAGAGGAACTATTGAAATAAGTAAAGTATCAGAATGTAGGAAAGAGTTACACTCCAACAGGGTCAAGTTAAACCTGTGATATTCTTTCAAGTTGTTGACAAAAAATTTAAAAAACTCATGTCGGTAACAGAGGGAATGAAATATGCAGCACTTTTTGGTCAATAAATCCAAACAGTGATAACTCTTGGTTCTCACTTACATATCCTTAACAAACTGGTTTGAATATTTGCTTCATATAGTTTTCTACCATATGGTACAAGATTAGGTTGAAAAACCTCTTACTTTTTGACTCATGAGATTTTTTATTAAGAAAGTTCATGGTAACGGAGGGAAAAGTAACGGAGGGAAAATTGTGCAAACAAGTAGAAGGTGCAGGATTTTACATCATTTGTCAACTTTTTTCTTCTGAAAACTTTAATATTACTTCAAAATGAAAGGAAACTATTTCTATAAAATATGTCAGTCCTTCCAAGCAAATTTTTATCATTTTAAATACTTTTTTTTTTTTTTTAAATCATGTACCTTCATCAACAGTTCAAAGATGGAATAACACAAGATATGATGAAATACATCCATTTATTTACATGATTTGCAGGTCTTTGAAATTTGGGAAATAATTTTTGTTCCATGTTTCATACATGGTCTGTTTAAAACGTATGGAACTTTAGAACCAAAAATGGTACAGAAAAAAGGTCAACAGTTTCATAAACTAGAGTACATATGTATCTGTTCAATACATTTTTATATCAGATGCATTAACTTGAATTTTTGGCCTTGATGTTTACTTCTGCTTGACCGGGCCCATATGTATCAGTTTTAGGACCATATATCCAAGTGGTCTGGGTCACATTTGAAAAAATTGGATCTGTGTCATTCAGACTGTCATTAAAAAATCAGATACAGGTCACATAGGGGTGAAAAATCAGATTTGGGTCACTTCAGGCTGCAGTCTGAACGTAGCCTAAGCGGGGACTCCCAGATTTCCTTCACCCCGGAGAGGGAGTGTGGAGGAGCAGTGGCTCTACTCCGAGCTCCTCCCGTGTGACTGAGCTCCTCATCTCTGAGGGAGCTCCCAGACACCCTGCGGAGGAAACTCATTTGTGCCGCTTGTGTCTGTGATCTCGTTCTTTCGGTCTTTACCCAGAGCCCCTGACCAGAGGTGAGGGCAGGAACAAAGACTGACCTGTAACATAACGTACTTTACATCAAAATTCAGTCGTACTTCATAGTGTAGTAGTTGAAAACACAGAAGGGCACAGGGGGCAGACGGTGGTTTAGACTGGCACAGACCCAAAGCCTCATTATTGGTGCATTTTTTCTTGCTCCTCTGTTTGTATTTTGTCTGAGTCCTCATTTAGACCAGTGTATTTTGGGTTCTGCAGTCTGTGTTTTTGTGCACTAAATAGCATGTTATATTTGTGTCCTCTGCAGCGCCGCGGCCCAGAGCAGCAGACAGAGGAGCAGTGAAGAGCCGTGTGAGGGGCAGAGGAGAAGCTCCTGTGTTCCTCGGCAGTGGAGGAGTTTGGAGGTATGGTACAACTTTTTTATGCAAAGCCTCGTCCTGCAGCCTGTACACTCCACAGTCTCTACACTCAGGGGCAAACTGGCAATCTGTACGTTCTGGAAAAGTTCAGAACGTCCGACCGTGGGGTTGATTGGGGCTGCTACTACCCACCCTCCCCCGCTACCAACCCATCCCCCCAGCTGGTCCTCATTTTTTTCCGTGGGCCAATTTGTCGGGGAAAAGTCCAGTCCGTCTAAATAAAGTCCTTAGTTTGACTGCACGTTTGGCTGATAAAACGACTAAACAACTGAAGGACTTCTGCCCTGGTGTGGTGCAGGATTGTGACCCCGGGGTCAAAATACTATTATGGTATGTTGACCCCCCAATGAAAATCTATATTTTATTAATAAACATCTTGAATTCTATAGAAAAACTTTGATTAATACTATATCTGCAAATGAAAACATATTGACATTAGGGATGGGCATTCAATGAAATTTCATTAATCGATCATCGGGAGAATTAATGATTGATTATTGATTAATCATTAATGTTTTTATATTAAAATGATCATCATTATTATTACTATCTGCACTACTAATCTGCATAAATAAATTCAACTTAACGACATATAAACATAATAACTCTGGAGCAGGAGTGTCAAACTCATTTTGGTCCTGGGGTCGTATCCAACCGACTTTGATCCCAAAGTGTCCGGATCAGAAAACTCATGTCATATAAACCCCAAAAATAACAATAAGTTCAAATATTTGTGCAGAGAAACACAAATCTATTACAGAAATCTTTTTTAATTGATGAACTCTTTCTTTTACAAAATATTATAATATTATGAACAACCTGAAACTTTAAGAAAAATGTAATTTCAACACAATGTTTTAACATTAAATTGTATGTAAATAGGAATAAGTCCATTTTTTTGGGGAAAATCCTGCACTCGGCTCCACTTTTCTCATGTTGGACATTTTTCTGATGAGGGTGTCACGGTCAACAGTCAAAACGATCGTCCTTTAAGAGCGTTTGGAAAGAGACAAGTCTTCATTTGTGCTGCTCTGGTGGGAGGGGCCACGTACAGAGACGCTGGAGACGCTGCTGTGATAAACACCACAGAAAATACAATATTTTAAAAGAAAATATAATTAAAATATTTTAGTAGAAAATCAGCAAAGAGCCACATTAAAGGTCTTGGAGGGCCGGATCCAGCCCCCGGGCCGTATGTTTGACACCTGTGCTCTAGAGCCACATCAGCCCGTTTGACATTATAATGTGTTTAATGCAGATTTGCACAAGTCTCAAAGAAACTAAACTTAAAACCACATGGCTCATTTGCATAAACTAAGCGAAGAGAAAAACAGCTCTTGTGTCGCTGATGTGGTTCAACTTCTGTCGGATTAAAAGACATGACTCAGGTGAATACAGGTTAGTGTGACCAGATTTGTGTTTGTCAAAACCAGGACAGCGTACGGGGGGAGGGGGGCGGGGCCTCGTCATCGACATTGAGCGACTCTCACCTGGCGAAGCTTTTTCTTGTTTTTCGGTGTCCTGGTGCTTTGAGGTCCCTGGACACTGAAACATATGTGCTGCTTTGTACACTGTGCACATGGACTCACACTTGTTTCAACCGGGACAGAAAGCGTGGAATTTCTTGTACAAGTCATCGTTAAATGTACATTTGGGCTTCGGCATGTTACAGACTGAGTCACAGACACTACAAGAGCTGCTCAGTTTAATGTCCCAATGAAAGGAAATGAAAACCCAGACATTTGCATCACTTTATAAAAAAAAAAAAAAAAAAAGGCCAGGACAGGATGTGGAAAATGTCCAGGGAAAAATTGACGTTTGGTCACCCTACGCTACGCACAGCGACCTACATTCGGTTTGTCGATTAAAAATGAACGTAATCGACAGAATTCTTAATGATCAATTATTGATTAACCGACTAATCATGCCCATCCCTAATTGACATATTTAAAAGTGTTTTTTGAAGAACTCAGATGCATTTTTTATGTCGAATTATAACTTTTGAATGTTAAAAATGACTGATGTTTAAACATACAGTTTACTGAAAATGAGATTTATTACTGAAAAGTAGTTATTAATGAGTTAAATAATCAAAGTGATGTGTAATGATTTGGAATCTTGTTAAAATAGACAGGGCTGATCAATTGAGTAGTTCAATAGGGGAAACCTATGACTAATCTGACCCCCCAATATGTTTATTAAAGGTTGTATAGAGGATTTTTTTAAGGAAAGAGAAATCCAGCAACAGTCCTTTTTCAAATGTAGTGCATGCGTGACACCACCTTCCTCCTCCTCAGGTCCCTCTAGAAATAATTTAGAGACCAACACCTCAGTTTTTAGACCCTTTGTCTGCTTCAGTCGCGCAGTCACTGAAAGGAATCTCCAAGAATCACCTCAGTTTGTCTTCGCTCCTTTTCTCCTTCTCTTCTTCTTTCAGCGACTTTCTTTTGCGGCGAACTGGTCGTGGATTCTCGTCCGACATCGCAACAAACTTTATGCGAACTGCGAGAGAGCCACAATTAGAAAAAGCCCCTAAGAACTGCTGCATAGTTACCTTAGAAACGTAGGGAGTTTGATTGACAACCTAACAGCCAATAGAAAATGAGGCAGCCTCGTTTTCTATTGGCTGATGTTTATCTGGCCTCAACACGTCCACAGTTGATAGATATTTTATTTTAAACAATTGACAATTTGAAACAAATGTGACAATGAAATATCAAATGATGACTCACAATATGTATTCATTATTCAAACCATTGACTAAATTGACATTATTATTAAGGATTATGTGAACATAACAAACTAAAAACCATAACAATGTAAAATACAATATAAACAGTGACAAGATTGGCAAGATTTACACAAAATACCAAGTCGTTCTCCATCAAAACATTCTTAAAATACCTTAAAAGAAAGTGAATACGTAGCGATATATAATAAAAGTAAATGACATGAGAAATAATGATCAGATAATTAACGACTAAAGAAAAAAGTAAAGGGAGTCAAAATCCTATAGGGGGTCAATTTACTATAGCAGTATGTTCACCCCGGTCAAAGTAAGACCATATTTTAAAGGTAATTTGAGCAATTGAATAAACAGACAGGTCCATGTAGTTACTGTGGAACATTCCAACGGCAGGAAACTCTCCATGGAGACAAGTTTGTGGTGTGCCTTCCTCGAAAGGTTTGTCTGAATGACGAGGAAAACATGCAAAACCGTCAGAATGAAGTGATGCTTTTTGAATGGCACATCGTATGAACCACAGTCAAATCCGGCCTCGGAGCTCCACGTGTGGTCGGCTCATTTCCCCCCGGACTCACCTGTGCAAACATGAGCGTGTTCAGCTGGAGAGCCACAGCAAAACCACATTTCCATCTCTCTTTTGTATTCAAATGTGTCTATTAGGCGTTTAGTCAAGTCCAGCGGTCAGTGGAGTCTTAGTCGGCCAAAATGTGGATTAGTTGCCGTGTTTTTTTATTTACGTGATAAGGATTTGTCCGGGGCAACAGCAGAAATGAGGATTGAGCTGAAAATGTGGTATTTTTTGGTATTTAAATAGATTATATTCATGATTCTCAAGTTAAAATACATTGTTCATAAGAATGTTTCATGAATGAAGCCCAAATTTGTACTTAAGAACTTCTTACAAACACTTTTAGGATTCACAAAACTTTTTTTTTTTAAACTCAAAATGTTCTTCTGGAAGAACAAATCCTACGAACAGTCAGGAGCACTCATAAGAACAAAAATTCTACAGTTTTAGAATATTATTGCTCTGATAATGCAACTAAAAATTCTAATTCCTTCATGATTGTAAGTTATATATTTTCTAAAATTATTTCCTATAAATATATGACTCTGTGATCCAAAAATATTTATGAGGCGTTTTTTAGAGCATGTCTGTTGGGTCTAAATCTACAAATGTGTCTATTAGGCGTTTAGTCAAGTCCAGCGGTCAGTGGAGTCTTAGTCGGCCAAAATGTGGATTAGTCGCCGTGTTTTTTTATTTACGTGATAAGGATTTGTCCGGGGCAACAGTAGAAAGGAGGATTGAGCTGAAAATGTGGTGTTTTTTGGTATTTATCTGTAAAAAAAAATAGATTAAATTCATGATTCTCAAGTTTAATTACATTGTTCATAAGAATGTTTCATGAATGAAGCCCAAATTTGTACTTAAGACCTTCTTACAAACACTTTTAGGATTCACAAAACTTTTTTTTTTTTTATTCAAAATGTTCCTCTGGAAGAACAAATCCTATGAACAGTCAGGAGCACTCGTAAGAACAAAAATTTGACTCTTTTAGAATATTATCACTCTGATAATGCAACTAAAAATTCTAATTCCTTCATGATTGTAAGTGATATATTGTCATAATTTTTTTCCTATAAATGTATTACTAGGTGATCCAAAAATATTTCTTAGGCATTTTAGAGCATGTGTCTGTTGGGTCTAAGTCTATGTTCAGACTGCAGGGCTTTATGTTCAATTCGTATTTTTTGGTGAGATCTGATTTTTTTGCGAGGTCGTTCACATTTCCAATTAAATTTGTCTTGTATGTGATCTCCAGTGTGAACTTTAAACACCCTAAAAGTGTCCCACATGAGCATTGAAGAACACGATGACGTCACACGCAGCGAGCGTGTTCAGTGTTTATGGAAGTCGCCTAAACTCTGGGCTTGTCTCTCAAAATCCGGTCCAGTTCTTGGTAAAATTGACAGGTTACACGTCCACGGCCGCTTCGTTTGTTTGAGTCTTTAGCCTTCTTGTTTTTGACTCACAGGTTCTTTATTTTTCGTTGACGTTGGAGTCAGGACCGACTGTAGCCGCGCTCGGACATTTCTTTGGCAATTATTTCACGAATCACCCGGTTCTGATAAGACTCCTCCAATTTGTCCTGAAAACAGCGATCACCACAAATATAAATACACTCTCTAACCTCACTTTCCCTCCATTGATGAGACTCCGAGACGTGTCGTAGATGAA